GACAGCTCCTTCAACTTTATGATGTTTTTCTTTGTGTTCATGGCACAAGTTGGAATCAGCATCATTCAGAGCATTGGCATCCCAGGATGGGGAGTATGGTGAGAGTCACAAAGAGACCAGAATCATTCATTGAATTCACACCAATAAGTTCCTATTTGTTTTTTGAGAAAAAAGACCTATTTATAGATAATTGCGCAACCAGATCTTAGAAACAATCAAACATCCTTAAAAAAATTAAAGTCTAAAAGATGTTCGTAATGAATTGTTTATGAATCTTTTACTTTTCTGGGCTCGACACCGTCTAAAATTAATAATGTCTGAAATAATTAAAAAACCTTGGAGGGGGGGGGGGGGCAACAACAGCAACACATCTTTGTCGATTTGTTTGAGACTCCTAGAAAAAAATAATTTGATGAGCACAAGTGTGATCTCTCAAACTAAATGCTATCTGCTTATATGTATKAGTTTAACAAGTTCTTACATCTTTCGAAAAGCTACACATTCTACAGTAGAGAGGACGATGAGAGTTTCACTCCACAGTCTAAAACACTACAAAGAAGATATTTTTGTGAAGCACATGTAAGTTTWGAGTTTTTGCAGAGTTTTGGTTTTGATAAGACCCAGGGTCACACACAGGCACTGGGAGACAGTGGCTCTGAGCAATGAAACTGAGTTTTTAGATGTAAGGAATAAAGCTGAATTACAGATTTTCTGTGCATTTTCTGTGCAATTATTCTGTCTTTCAATTTTTTGATCACATCAGGATGTCAGTTGTGTCAACTTCTTAAAAAGTAATAAAGCTCATATTATGCCTCTTTTACTAGAAAACCATGCAGTAATGTTTCAGTCATCAGTGGAACAAAGCCACATTTAAATCTGTGTTTGCGTAGAACCCTGTTTGCTTTTGGAAGATAGTATAATATTTTGGCTCAAGAAAGATCTGGGTTCAGCTCAGATTAAGTGTTTTATTTTTTTATTATTTCCCCCTGCTACTTTCATTAAAACGAGAGTGAAAAACCATCAGATATTGCCCTTTTACATAACGTTTATGATAGTCCTTTTATTGGATTTTGAGAGGCCATCAAAAACAGTCTGAAAATGTCGCCTGACTCTGGGTGATGATCAGAAATTAATATTATTACAGCCTCCATAAAATTTGTGAATGTCACTGTGTGCAACAAAATGTTCCCATCACTCATAAAACTTTAACATTTTATAACTCGGTATTTAAATCTGCTGATTTAGTAGCATCCAGATGTTAGGTTGTGGTTTCATGTGAACAACAGGAACCAGTTACAGATGATCTCAGCTTCTGTGTTCAGACTCGATAACATTTCTTGACATTCATATCTTTGTCTTTCAGTGGTTGGTTGGCTACCATCTCCTTCTTCAGCTATAATATTTTGATTGCTTTAATTATGCTGGTCCCTACAATCATGTTCACTGTTGTGGCTTCACTGTCCTTCATCGCACTCACTAAGGTAAAAAGTTTATTACGATATCTACTAAATGCTCTTATCTAAAATAAAATATTAACAAAGTGCAATTTAAATAAACACATTGACATTATTTTCTGTTACCTTTGTCCAACATGTCACCATAAAAGGTGGAGCATAATCAAATTGTCTGTGTCTCTGTGTGAATGTACTCTAAGCTTGTTTGCTCTGTTAGCAAAATATTTTCAAATTTGATTGAAACTCCTGGAACGTAATCACATAAATTTTCTTTTGGAGTCAACCTGATTTAAGATGGCTGTCACTGCTAATCAACCTCAGAAAACACAAAAAGGTCTACAACTCAGCCATCTTCACATATATTGAACTTTTGTCCTGGTAGTACATGGCAGTCATCCATACTCATACTCTGAGCACAATCTGATCATGTAAAATCTTTGTTGAAAACTTTGACAAGCAAGGCCGTGAGCAACATAGATATCTTTCGGAAATTCTAGATTAATTTCATCAAGTTTTTATATATAATTAGCACAAAACGTTCAGAGATTTGTGGTAGATGATTTCTTTGGTGTAACAATTCTTGGCAATAATTCTTATACTATTGGAAAGCCTGTTATTTCTCTTTTAAACGGTGCCACATTTGCAAGGAACATGCATTTGTGAGATGAACAGTAGAGCTGAATATGTGGGTTGTGCACATGCCAAATCGTCTTTGCCAAATAGCCTATTTTTCTGTTGCTATTGACACTTGTTTWGAGCTACTGGTACCCCAGRTGCTGCCAATCATAAGATACCATGCCAAGACAAATTGTTACAACACAGAAATAATCTACCACACACAAATTTACTTCCTTTTTGTGCTTATTTGGTGCTAGTTTTATGCCACTACAAAACAAAACAAAAACTGACCCAATCGTATCAAGCAAACAAATGAATAAATAAAGTAAAAATATGTCTAGATGAATTAAAATTATATCATTTTCTTTCCTTTTTAATGGTGCTGACATTTCTTTTGTAATCCCACATTGACCKCAGATCCATAATTTCTACCGAGGCACTGGTGCCAGCTTCTCCAAAGCTCAGGAGGAATGGACCACAGGAGCCTGGAAAAACCCTCATGTCCAGGCAGCAGCTCAACAGGCTGCCATGGGGGCAGCTTCCGGTGCCRTGCAGGATCAGTTCTCCAGCCCACATTACGAAAACCAGATGTAGCATCATCAAGACCACAAATGTCACTGATGCAATGCCAAAAGCTGAGTTTGAAAGATTTAAAGCAATTCACATCACCAAGGTGATTATTAAAATCAACAGGATGCCTTCAGGCAGCATATTTGAGATATATTAAATAATTTCATAAATATATATCAGTCTTTCTCAGTTTGAAAATAATATATTGGTTTAATAAATGTTACTGTAGTGGCTCTAACTGTAGCTGCAARCTAGTTTATTTACCTGCAGTTCTAGAAATGTGTGTGAGTGAAACCAAAAAGACTTCAGGCTCTCTCTTGTAATAATTATTAATGTGTTTAGTATCAATTTATTTATTGTTATATAGTATGGATGGTGATGAATGCATGGTGCAGTTTTTATAATATAAAACAATATTCTGAGGAACTTTGTAAAGTCACACTTTGAGATAAGTTTTCAAACATACATATGCAATTATAATTTATTGCATTGCAATATACAGTATTGGTTTGATTACAAAGACTGTAGTCCTGTCCACACACAGCACACTCTGAAAACTATTTAGACTACAAACATATAAAACTCACTTGTCATTTGTAAGTCAGATATTTGTTTAAACACGGGAGGTTTTGTACTTCATGTCAACTTGGCCTGTGTCCCTTTGTGAGATTTACAGGTTGCATTCAGAAAGAAACCTGACTTGTTTTGCTGTTTGGTTGTATGAACACAAGGAGGCGCCGATTGATCTTGAATAAAATAAATAAAAAAAGCTCCAACGTGTTCACATTACCATTAGTATTTCTTTTACCACATAATCTTCAGTTATTTTATTATTGTTATGTAATTTTTTATCTACAGAGAAAATAATGATAATAGAAAATAAATTTGAACACACACACTGTCAGTTTTATAGATGACATCATGATGGAGAATGAAAACAAAAGCGTTTTTGGGTTTTTGAAAACAAAAAAAACATCAGATTAATTTTTTTATGCTGAACAAGTTCCAATATTAAAACAACAACAACAACAACAACAACAACAACAACAACAACAACAACAACAACAACAACAACAACAACGACGACGACAACAACAACAACAACAACAAAAAAGCCTATTAGAAGTGCTTAGATATTTGCCCCATTTAATCAAGACATTCTGCTCAATCATTAATATGTGCTGTATGCTGTTTCCAATACATTACACACAGAAAATTATTCTTCAGTCACATTTTGAAAAATCACAAGATGGTGGGATATTTTCTGCCTTTAGGTGGCAGTATTGTCCCACTGTGGTGGTCCAACATTCCTTTATGCTGCTCACCAGGAACACAATAAGCCCCCCAGTTTTCCCACATGTTATGTATTAGTAAAGTCACACAAGAAGACATGGAATCTTTAAAAGTTAGTGTTTGACCCCAGTTGTTTGTTTCAAAAGTAGTTTTGTTTTTCTTTTAACTTTACATGAAATGAATAGTTCATCCTTTGGTAGATCAGGAAACATCAGAGAACAGATACTATTTTAAAAAAAGAAATGAAAACCAACTTTCTAATGGATTTATATTTGATCATTCTTGCCCCCACTCATTTTCTCTCTGTGAATGGGATAGAACCAGCTTGGGAGGTGGGGGATCAGATTAAATGCCAAATATTTCCAAATATAGCTTTTATTTGTTCATGAGAAAATATTATTTGTCCACAATTTTCTAACAGAAGAAAACTTCAGTACTAAGCCACCAGGTGGTGAAAACATCCTCATTAACAACATATTAAATTCTAAAGCAAAACCAATCATTATGGACCAAAGATTATCTCAATACTTTTAAAAAATAATTATTTTTTCATATTGTTTACAGGGTTCACTCAACATTAATCTTTTCACTACACAAGAACAGCTATAAAAATGATGACTGGAAACAAATGGGAACAAAGTAACAGTGGGTATAAATTAAATGTCCTGTCCACATGGATCCACCAACACTATTTTTTAATTCTCCACTTTAATTTATACATACACACATTTTTAAATGTATA